GGAGAGGAAAGGCGTTCCGGGCTCATACCAAGCCAGCCTGCTGGCACGGCAGGGAGAGGAGGAAGCCCTGGACACTGCTGCCATGCTCAGCAGCTATGTGAAAACACAGCCTCCAAATTTGGAAAGCGGCTCCGTTTCCAAATACTGCCATGAACTGAAAAACTCCCCTCAAAATGAAACCAGCCCCGGCCCTCTGGTTCAAAGTTTCCTGTATAAAAACAAACCTGCCGGACGGCTGCATTTGCACACAAAAGGTTTTGTTTTCAGGAGGAAGGTCTCTTTTTTGGAGGAGTAAACACAAGGCCTGCCCATCCTCCATGCCCCTGGGCGGGAGGCCTGCCTGGCAGCTCAGGGCGAAGGCAGGGCATTGTCCCATCTTGCTGCCTGGCTGCTTTCCCTCTCCCACGTCCACTGCAAGCAGACCACTGCCTGCAGCAACACCAACGCTGCTGCCGTCCGAGCTGCCGACCAGCTTGCCCTGCAAGCGCTGGACCCTGGCAGGCTGTGCTGGCTGAGGCTTTTCACACGCATCTCAGTAGCTGTGACACCTCGGAGGGTCCCAGGGCATGGGGATGGGTGCAGGATGGGGGCGTGCAAGGTCAGAGCTGGTCCTTCAGCAGAGGGATCAATGTCTGCCTGTGGCTCTCCTTGCACCGTGGTGGTCCTGGGGCGTTGCGGCGTGGCACCCAGGGGTGCTCCCCTCCCCGCAGCACGGCGGCAGCCTTGGCAGTGCCTGCTTCTGCAACTCCTCAGCTTCTCCCTGGCATCTCTTGCAGCACCAAGGAGCCAAACACAACATGAGCCGGTTTCTTCGGCTGTCAGCAGCGCCTGCTGCTTCCTGCGTCCAGCCCCCAAAAGAAGACAGCTCTGCTTCTTCACAGGAGCAGCTACGGGACCCCTACCCCGGCTCTACTCCCTCCAGCTCAGCTGCAGGCCCCCTCGAGACCACCCTCCCCAGGCTGATGCATGTTTGGGGCTGGCACAGCTGCAGCCTGGCTGCTCCCGGGGGCACTGCCGTAGGTGGCATTCAATCATTGCAGCGGAAGCTGCTTCTTGGGACACGTCTTGGCCACGGGTGTGGGTCTCATGGCTGGCGATTGCTAAAGGCTTTGCTGGCACAAGCTTGGCCTCACCAGGCAATTCTGGAGCAGGGGTGAGGTGTTCACAGAGGGATGCAGATCAGCCCCCTCCACTATTGCCTGCTGAGAGTTTTGCTCCAGGTCCCTGTGAAGTGTCTGTCCCTTCAGCCGCAGCCTCTGCTGCTTGACTTGGGACGGTCTTGCAGAGTGGGTCTTGCAGAGTGACGTGGAGCTCAGCCCTGCCTGTCCAGGGGTCCCCGATGATGTGTCCATGGAGTTGAACATCCTGGCTTGAGGGTTTGGGGGCATGGGAGGTCTGTGGGGCTTGGAGACCTTCCCAGATGCCAGACTTGGAGAGCTGGTCCCTACCCAAAGCACTGGCAGAGGGTATTTTCACCTCTGAGCTGGGACACACCTGCCCTGCATCAGTTTACCATCTGTGTACCAGGAAGCAGAGGTGCTCTGCTGCTGGAGGGGAGGGAGGGAGAGTAGGTGGCAGGCTGGTAACGGGGACGCATCAAGCTTTTCTGAGCCTCCTCATCCCTCCCTGGGCTGTCATTAGCAGCGAGTTTGGCATCTGGGCTGCGAAGCCACGCTGTCCTGCTTCTCCTGTGGGTGGTGCAGCTGGGCTGGGCTGGCTGCGGGGTCTGGAAGGAACTGCCCCAAGGCTTGGGGGGATCAGCTGGGCTTGCCGTTCGCCTTGAGCTGCTTGGCTGGGAGAGCCTAAAACAACAAACATTGCAGAATAAGGGAATGTTTCACTGCTTTTTCCTGGTCAAGTGGTTTCCTGTTTTCTAAGCAGCTCTTCCAGCACCACTGGGGCAGAGGACTTGTCCGCATTGAACCTGGTCCCAGACCAGACCCTCACCGGGGAGGCAAGTTCCTGCTGCTTGACATCAGGCAGAGAAAGAGGTCACAAAAGATTGGCTCTAGCATCAGCTGCGACCTTTACCGGAGACCTGTGGCAGGAGACTGTTATTCTCTTCCCCTCTGGGCTGAAAGCATCCATGAATGCATGGTCTTATCTAGGTCAAAACAGGCTGGACTCCGCTTGTTTACACAGCCTCGCTGGTATTTCTTACGAACAGCTTTCAATGGCCTGACAAACTCATCACATGCATGGCCACCTGCTCAACATGCTCAGCTCTGTGAGGGGAGCGTGGGAGCTCCTTGGCTCCAATGGTCCCTGCTGTGAGCAGGAAAACTCGGTGCTGCGGTTCATGTGGGATGCTGCTGAAGGCAGGGGACAAGGACAGGATGCCCTGTGGCACACCACTGCTGTATTTCCCAGGAGTGTGCAGCGAGTGTCTCCATCTCCATCACCCCTGCTCCTCCCAGGCCAGGCCCTGCATCCCAACTGTGTGTTGGGGTCCTGAACAGAGTTCTGTACAATTCTGGTGTCGTTCCAACCTCCTTTCTCCCCCAGAGCCTGTCTGCAGCTGTGCACACAGGTAAGGTCACCCTGTCTGGTGGTATTGCCCACCGAGCACCCATTGCTGCTCCTCTGCCACAGTCCAGAGCCCCCTGCCCAGCTCTTCCCGCTTCTTCCCCTGCCTGTTACCGATCTCCCCTCTGTCCTGGACAGTACCAGGAGCAGGGGCAGTGGGACCATCCCACCAGGTCTCTGGGGAAACACACAGATATTTTCTCAGTTGACAAACATCATCTTTCCCCTCCTTTGCTGAGCGTTATTAAAAAGATGCTGTTGGCAGAGAGTCTGCCCTGAAAGCCAGCCTGTGTCACTCCCTGGAGACTGTCTGACCCATGGAGAAGAGGCAGGCAGAGAGGACGTTGACACACAGGGTAGCTGTCACTGCTTGAATCAGTCCTGGCTCCTCGTGGAAGACAGGATCCATCTGGACCTCCTCAGGGTCCATCCTGGATCCTTACTCAAGATCAGCCGTCCCTGACCATGACAGAAACATAAACCAGGCCCTTGCAGGAATGGTGAAATAGGCAGACACAGGAGGCTCCTGTCAGCACCCGTGGGCCCAGACCCAGCCAGCGCCGCAGGATGCAGCCCAACACACAGCATCTCCTCCCCGGCAGGAGCAGGCAGCAGGGCCCCTGCCCAGCACATGCCTGCAGGTTGCTGCATCTGAGCTCTGCAGGGTCCCCCCGGCTGGACTCCAGCTCCCCAAAGTGGAGCGACCCCAAAGCCCAGCTGAGGTAGCCTCACTGGTGACTGTCATGTCTGGGGAGAGGCTCAGGAGACCCACAGAAGAGAGGAGACAGAGCTGCTTGGGGCGCTGTGAGAGGAGGTGGAGATGCCCCCTGGCAGGGGTGATGCTCACCAAGTGGGACATGATCTGCTGCAGTGTCATGGTGCCAGGCTGGCTGGTGGCATGGCAGGGTGGGGGTGACCTGCCCCAGCCGAGAGCAGAGCTCGCTGGCTTTGCACCCCTCTCCACAGCCCCGTGGGTGTTCAGCCAGTGCTTCCCCATCCTCTCCCCTACTCGTCAGCAGCACGGATCCCTCCTGCCTTGTCCTGGTATCACAGACCTGGGCCCCAGCACCACATGCAGGCTCTGCATTATAGAGGGGCCCACCCTTTCCCAAAATGCACACGGAGTCCAGCAGCCCTTGTTAATAGGGTGCAATGGCCCCCATAAACCAGAGGTGAGGTATGGGGGGAGAAGGATGGTGGGCCAGAAGCTGTAGCACTGCACAGTGACCTGCCCACCAGGCACCACGGCGTGACCTGCTGCTCTCCCATGTGGTGGCAGACCCAGTGCCTTATTCAGTGTTACTGCAAACACTGCCCTGATGCCAGCCGCATGGCTTGACCCCGTGCCCACGCCAGGCGGGAGCAGGGGAAGGGTGTTCGGCAGCCCTGGGTGATGGAGAGGTCTGCTGTCTGCTGCTGCAGCTTATCCAGCACTGGTCAGGCAAGGCTTTCATGGGCAAAAAGCCTGACGCCTGTGCTGCATCAGGGGCCGTGGTGCCACCAGCTGCTGCCTCGATTTATCCTCCAGTGCTGAAAGCCCCATGGCTCCATCCTCCGCTACCTGCACTTGCTGGCAGGAAAGGTGTCCCCTGCCCCAGAGCATTTGGGGACCCCCCTTTGGCCCCAACAGCAGAAATAAAAAAACCTAAAAAGCTTACAGTTTCTTAGCTTTTCCTCCAGATGTGGGGCATTTGTGGCTTCCAGCACAATGGCTTCCCCACAGTGAGCCGACAGGAATATTTCTGATACCTGGAGCCGGGATAAAAAAGACCCTGTGTGCTGCGAGCTCCTGTGGCTCAGACCTATGGCTGCCCAGCTGCAGCGAGACCAAGGGGACTCGGGAGGCATCACTCAGCAGGAGCAATGCATGGCCCAACGTGGTGGCTTCCTGATTTTCTGAGGCCAGAAAGCACTATCCAAAACAGCTTTCAAGAGCTGACAGGCCCATGTACTTGCACGCACGCGTGGCCTTGCCTCGGTGGGTGGCTGGCTGCGTGCTGGAGGAGCTGCACTCTGTAGATCCCCGTTGTCTCTGCATTGCTGCCCTCTGGCTGCCTCGGCACATCTATGGCGAGTCTCTCCTCTGGCTGGAGAGATGGGACCTGCCCTGGCTGTCACGGGGCTCTGGTTCCTACAAGCCACATCACAACCCAAGAACCTTCCTTTGGGAGCAGATCAATGCGTTTTAGTGCACCATCAGCCAGGCATGGGTGCTGGCAGCCTAGTGCCAAACTACAGGATCAAGGACTTGAATTTAGAGAATTTGTCTCATTTGCACATGCAATATATCTCACATGATCCTGGCTGCCCAGGTGCAGGTCATCTGTAGGACATGCCCTGCTGTGCTAAGACAGGATTGTCTCGGTGGGATTCAGGGTGAGGAGGCTGGATCTCTGTGCTCAGGGGGGATCTTGCAGAGTGCTATATAATAGAGATGGCAGTGGATTCACATTTGCAGGGGGTAGCAAAACTTTTCTGTGGGCTCTCCCACCTTAAAAAGATACTTTAACAGAGTACAGGAAAACAGCATGGAAAGCTCTGGAAAACGTGGCTTTCATTAAAAGATCCGACAGGCCTCAACTCTACAGTTTGCCCAAGAAAAGAGGAAGAGGCCACCGGGATGAGTTATACAAGTATCTGCACGGAGAAAAGATGCCTCCTGTTCAGCAGCAGCCAACACGCCAGCAGCTGGGAACTGGAGGAGTCAAGCTCTTGGGTTGGCTTCACCCTGTGCCACTGGTCTTTCAGACAACCCCAGCTCATCCCCACCTCCAAGACTCCAGGCAGAAGCTGCTGGCACATCCTCCCTGGCCTGCACCATGCAGCAGCAAGGCCCTTTGGCCCCAGGTAGATGCATCCACAGGTCCATCCTGTGCTGTGGCCAGATGGTACACTCAGCGTCACATGCATGGGCTGTTTTTAGTGAGGTTAAGAAACTTAGCCCCCGTGGAGTGACAAACTCAGCATCTGTTTGACTCGCTGCACCTATTTCTGCACCGGACGTTGGCTGAGAGCAGGCTATTTTTAACCATCCCTGGTTTACCATCTTCTTTCTAGCTGTTATCACGGGCTAGGAGAGGATCTTTGCGCTCTTTGTGAAAAACTCACTGCCGATCCCAGACCAGATTAGCCTGCGGAAAACCAGCACCGCTTCCCCTGAGGCCAGCGGCGTGTGGGCGCAGGCGCTCTCGCAGCAAAAATGGAAGTGACTACTTTCTAACCGCTTCCTTTCTTTCTGGGTCTCTCTCTCTCTCCTGCCCCTCCTGACAAGTTCATTTCCTGTTATTGGTAACGGCCCCTGCACCCGGCGAGAGGTCACCGCGTTCGGTGCCCCCACGAGAAAACAGCCCGGGGCTGGAGACAGCAGGGCTGTGCAAAGCAAACCCAACTGAGCTTTGCTGGGGCGGGCAGCAAGGCTCAGCCCATGCCACTGGGTGCCGAGGTCCCTGCTGCTACAGGATGCAGTGTGCCAAGGGACCCAGGATATGAACGACATGATGGGTCTTCAGGATTTTCAGGCCTTTTTGTGCCTTTTTCATAGGAACCTGCTTTGTCCTGTATGCTCGGGGGATGGAAAGTAGTTTCTTGTTCCTGGGGGCCTTCTTCCTGCCCACACACCTCACAGTGCTTTGCAAGCAGGCGCTGTGGTCTAGAGCCTCCTGGGAAGACACATGTGTGTCTGTTGGCCCGGGGCAAGCCACTGTTTGCTGCCACCCCACCAGGCTTCCCGTGCGAGGCAGACAGCTAGGTCCCTAAGGGAAACTGAGGCACACAGAGGTTTCCAGGCAGCCTTTCCAAGAGCACAGCGCTCTTGGAGGCAGCCAGGGAAGTGCAGGACAAGCCCAAGCGACACATGGATGAGCAAGATGCTGCCGCCGGTGCTGGGGCTGTGTCCCCTCGCAGTGCAGCAGTGTGTCCTGGGTGACGAAGTAGCCCCATGGCTCTTGCTATGCTTCTATGGCTTCTCCTCTGGCATTTGCTGGATAGAGAGTCAAAGTCTCAGCACCTTGGAGATCTGGCCCCTCGTGCTGGCTTAGATCCCCTCTACCCTCACCACTCGACTTAGGAGCAATCCTCCATGCATGAAGCTAAAATGAATGGGGAGAGCTTGTTCCCACATGGGGAGAGGAATAAACCATGCTGATATGAAGCACTTTCATGCTAGAAGAACACCTTTCCCAGAAGGGCTGTTCCTGTGCCCATGAACCCCTCTTTAACCCACAGCGGCACCAACCCTGCATTGTTGCTGGCCCCACACAGATGGGGCTGGTGTTTCACCTGCTTTGCCTCTGCCTTTCCATTTGCAAAGTTGGAGGAAAGCTCAGCCTGTTTGCAGATGTGGGAGAATATCTAATTCCAGAAACCAGAAGTGGTTCTGCTCAGCAGTCATTCAAAGAAGAAAAAAAAAAAAGTTAAGCAAGAAATTCAGGTGAATTTCCATCCTTTTTGGTTCTCCTTGAAGAGAGGGGCAGGATCCTGTGCAGGGGCTGGCAAGATCAGCGGCAGATGCCTTGAAAAAATGAAGCAGCAATTGCTTAATTGCTTCCAACCAGAGCTGGGCAGTGGCAGGAGCAAACTCTGCGCAGACCATCACTGGCAACAGGGAGGAAGGTCACACGTTCGCTCCCTCCGGCTCTCCCTCCTCAGTATCAGCTCCATCCCAGCGGGATGCCCAAGGGTCCAGGCTCACGTGCAGCGCTCCTCTGCAGACTCTGTGCTCCCTGCAGCCCGCCGACACAGGCTGCGTGTGGCGGATGTTTGCACACCGCGGCACAGAGTGCTGGGGCTGTCCTTGGGAATGCGCTCACGCGGAGGAAGCTGGAGTAGCGAGACGCTGTTCTCCGGGAAAAGCAATCTGCAGAAGTGCTTCGCTCAGCTCCCAGGTCCTGGCTGTCCCCAGGCCAGCGGGCACGTGACATGGAGCCCCCCGATGCCGCGCCGTAACTGGGCTGTTCACATCCCCCACGGCCAGCTCTGCGGGATGCTCAGGCTAATTGCATAGTCCTTCTCACACCTGCTGGGAGCTGATCGGCTGGTTTTAACAGTCTGCTGAATCCCGAGGCAGCCGCTTCACCTTCAAGCCTACGAGCGATGTTTAGGCAGCGAAGGAGATGGGCTAATTTCCAAAACCCTGCAGGACGTCCTGAGCTCCCAGTCATGTCAGCGGGAGCAAGACCAGCCCTGTCTGAGCGCTGGACCCAAAGGTGACGGAGGCCCAGCGGAACGAGGCCGTGGTGCGGTAGGCAATCCCAGGGGAGTGAGACCGTGGGGCACCATCTGTGTTTTGGGTGCTAGTTCGGTGCCTGCCTGGGCTCAGGTGACTTTGAAGCTACACTGCTGTTTGGAGAGGGTGAGGAGCGGTGCTGGGGTGTGTGGATCAGGGCGGGGTGCTGGGAAAGCAGGCTTGTACTTGGGAGGCTGGAGAGCAGA